CACCGGGTTACGGGGGACGGGCAGGGTAAAAGAGGGGGGGGGGGCTGCAGCGCGCGCCTGCCCAACGGGAGCAGTGCGGGAGGACTTACGAGGACGAATGAAACCCTAAAGGGGTGCAATAATACTGCTGTTGGGAGGAAAAATGGAAACCTGAAGGGGGACAATAATACTGCTGTTGGGAGTACACATGGAACCCTGAAGGGGAATAATAATACTGCTGTTGGGAGTACATGTGGAACTCAATGAAGTTTCCCTCCGAGGGTAACTTCCGGTAACTTCAGTCCTCCTGAAAGAGTCAGCAGTACCTCCCACAGGGGTAGACCCCCAAATTGTACCCCTTAGCTTTTACAGTGAGACAGCTGCACAGCTCAGCTGCCCAGCAACGTCCCGACGCAAGGGACAAGGGGGCACGCAAAATGAACGTTAACTCTTATATCGTTGAGCGGACAAGCAGGGCACTGCGGTGCGTGCACGGCCGGGCACCGCCGGTGCCCTACGCTAAGGGCCGCTCGCTGCAGTGGCAAATCTTGGTGTAAAAAAATATTTGCAGTGTCATCTGCTAAATTAAAGAGATTTTTGTGTTAAAAAATGCCCCCCCCCTTCTCCCCAGGCCACTGGACAGAGCTGCAGCAGGGTGCCATACCCCCCAGTCTGGGCCTGCTAGCGCATGGCAGGGCAAAGCGACGCTATGATTTGGAGGAAGTCTGCAATAAATCACAATAACTACTACTGAACGAACCACTGTAAGTAAAATCTCACGCTGCCGATGAACATACTACCAGAACAGTGGGGACAAGAAGGTCCGAAACAAGCTTGGAACATGGTAGAGTGGTCGTTCAGGAATAATAGAATGATAATCAGAAACACTCTAAACGCAGTTTGGCCTTTTCGATTTATGTCTGGCTGCCATTTGCAACGTTACCGTTGCAACGTAAACGGTACACATAAAAGCAGCGGGTCGCTCGTGCCCTTTCCAAGAGTCCTTGTTATCATGGGTGAAACGATTTGTTACTAGCTTATATCATTTATCAACTTAGGCTCCAGCGCAGGACAAGGCGGCCTGAGCCCAGTTTTCGTAAGCAGTAGGGTTTGATCCCTTCTTCGAGGCACATTGGTAAAAGTAGTCGGACCACTTAACATCAGCTATCTGAAGTGCAGACAATTCTGCGGCGAATAGGACGCACTCCGTGAGAGGCGTGAAATTGTTCCCTACGGATTGAGCGTATGACTTAGTAGACTGGATGCACGACGACAGTTTCGTGGCGAGAGCTGGGGTAAGCCATCTATCGTGAGGATCAGCGGCCGCATCCACCTGAAGAAGCGGAACAAAACACATCTTAATCGATACACAATCGCCACTAACAAAGGGATGGGGTTTTCTTTCTTAAAATTAATCCCTACGCCAATCGACAACTGTCGCTTCAAGCCGAAAGTCACATGACTTAAAATAGAGCCTCGAAGAAGACGACCAGGAAAGAAGTAAAAGAATATCTGAAATAGAATGTGAAATTGTGGCGTTGACAAATCCACGTTTAGTACTGATTGGTTAACCGCTCAATTTCTCATACCAGTTTCCGGTCCTCTCGTTCTTCTTCCCTAATGATCTGCTTCCAGGCAACTCCTCTACTGTCAAGGATAGTATATGTATACGCGTGTTGTAGTTGCTGCGGTTCCGATTTTATCCGTTCGTGATTCTCTGCCGGTAGCGAAAAAAGTTGAAATTTCAGCCTTTTCGGCCTTTTCAGGCTGCATTCGGGCCCTGAGCGAGCTCGAGACGACCCTATCGGCTTGACTAAGCTGCTCTAGTATTAGACTAAATTGCCAGACTCATGATGATGACTTTCCCGAAAAACGATTCCTTGTTGCAAGTACATTTTGTACGAAAAGTGACACATGATTAATTTGTCCTTGACACAAATCGATTTTTCCTTTGGAGTAAGAACATTTTCTTAGTCGAAAAGTAATTTAACCTTTCACCAAGAAAAAATTACTCTTGTGTCGCTTTCAGTATAAAATGCACTTGAAACAAGAAATCATTTTTCTGGGTGTGGGTGCATTGCTTACCCTCCAGGGAGATTTACCGCGGATTCCACCAAACTTGGGGCGAAGACAGTGACCTGTGACGACGTATACCGACCTAAATAGGTATAAATGTAACTTTTTTGTTATTAATTTTAAGTTATTATTATAGTTTTTAACGATTTTATTCAGTTGAAATTTTCAGTGACCCATTCAATATAAAGAACAGAATAATTGTCAGGAATTGTCGCTGCGACATATTTTTTCACAGAAAAGTCTATTTATATACCGGTTAAGTCGGTGTACATCGTGACAGGCCGCTAAATTCACCCAAAGTCCGAGTTTTGTGAAATTCGCGATAAATCCCTGCCCCTGAAATGTAGGCAATGCACCCAAAGTTATCATCGGGAGTCCAGAAATATAGACTAGTACAGGGGTCGCAAACTCGCGGCTCCCGAGCGAAGCGCGGCTCGCCTAGCCCGGTAGCGCGGCTCGCCGAGAGCCGCGCACCTCTTGCGTTCGGGTGGACCCGAGGTCGCCGAGAGCCGCGCTCGGGTGGCTCGGAGCTGAGCCGGACCCAGCCGTCGTCGTCTGTCGCTGGACACACGCCGCTCGCTCGCTGGCCCAGTGTGTGTGTCTGTCTTTGTCGCACTCACTGAGGCGCCATTGGGAGTGACAAAGACAGACACACTGGCCGACGACCGAGCACACAGCGAAGCTAGCCGGCGGTCACAGCAGTGCGGCCGGGCACGGGTCAGTCGCTGAGGCACCACTACATCTATCTCTCTCACTCTTTTTGCCGAAGAGCTCGCAATGCGTGTGGCCTATGCAGGCGAGGCTCGTCGGATAGCTCGAGTTTGCAACCCCTGGACTAGTACAAGAGCAACTAATTAAGGCCGACAGGATCGCCTCGAGCTCGCTCAGGGCCTAGATGCAGACTGAAAAGGCTGAAAATTGCAATTCTTTCGTTACCGGCAGACAATCACAGACGGATAAAATCTGAACCACAGCACCCACAGCTTACAGCTCGCGTAGGAATATATTCTTTCTTGGCACAGAAAGACGATCACTGAGATACCAGTGCCACTGATATCGGCGCAAAACTGCGCGAAATGCACTTGAGCCCCGCTTTAAGCTTCAGGGGCCTTGCGGAGGTATTTAAAATGGTTTCTCAGCAAAAGAAAAATATGGGTCTGCATTCATTGTTTACCCTTTACTCAATTAACCTGCGGTGCCCTCTGCGGCAAGTTTCAAAATTTTTTGGGCCACCCTAGTAGGGGCGGCCCAGGACCAGTGCAGTGGGGCGAAAAGTGACCATGAGATGTTTTAGAAGCTAGAAGAAATGAGGAATCCCCAAGGTGTTGAAGGTCAGCCGATGGGTCAAAATGGACACTGCCGCTAATCTTAAGAATAGCTAGAAAAACTTTATTCCAGGTGTACCCGCTTTGATCCCAGATTTTCACTCCACCCTTTTCTGGGCCGTTTAGCTGTCGAATTTAAAATTTAACTTTGCAGGGGTACGTTTTCAGGTCTATATAGTGTCATTTTAAGTCCGGCAGTACTGTTATCTCTGACGCTTACCCTTAAGGGGCCGTTCACAAATTACGTCACGCTTTTTGGGGCGATTTTTGACCCCCCCCCCCTTTAATCTCCAAATGACGTTTTTCAAAGAAATCGCAAATATACCAGGAGAAGTGTGTATAAGCGAAAAATACAGTTTTTCGAACAAAATGGTGTATTTTCAATATTAAAAGAAAACTCGCGCGAGACTCACTGCGACGCTGCGGCTAGAGCGCAGCAGGCGTCGCGATGACCGCCTACGCAGACCTGCGGACCTCACAAAATGCGTGACTTCACGCTATCCATGAACCCCCTCCCTCCCCCCTCGTCACGCGTTCATCACCCCCCCCCCCCTAAACAGCGTACCGTAATTTGTGAACGCCCCTTAACAGGGAGTGGTCTAGCCTACATGTGCAACCTACATTATTCAACATAGCCGATTCAGTATGTAACACAGTTTGAAGTTCTCCGATCAGAAGTTGATGTAAGATACCTATCGGTATCGGTATATCCCACGTAACAATAAAAACTTACAAACGTTCGGTAAAAACAAACACTAATTACTATCTGTACTTCATCTGTCTCACCAAGCAGCCGGTCGCTAGGATGGACAGCACGAAGACTACGACGTGGTAAGCTGTGGACGCCATGTTGTATATTAAACCACAAGTGTACTAACGTATATATATCCAACCGTGAACTCTACGTTGTTTTCCTGCTATGCTCCTAGTCACGACTCATGTCCATTTCGTGATTAGGGCATATAACGTTATTACCACCAAGTGTAGTGCACGTTAATTCAAAGATCTTTTCGCCTTAAAGTGGGTCGAAACCCGAGAAAACTGTCAACTGTTTGTGTCATTTTGCAATATATTCGGTGATGGTGGCATACAATAGGTAATTCAAAAAGAAAAACCATACATTTGTTGACCCGACAAGAAACTAATTCACGAATTGTAAGTTGAATTTTACAGAAATCATTTGTTGACCTGTATCAAATTAATCGGAAATAAATGTCACTGTATTACCTTTTTTCCTAGAATGGTCGTAAGCTGTCAGTAAGCTACTAGCCAGTATTAGCAATAGTGGAAATTCTAATGCCATTGGTAATTAGTAAGAGAAAGGTTGAAGTAACTTGTTGAATGAGACGTGAGCGGCAGCGCTGCTTTCAGCTCTTGCCGCTAGGGCGCTCGCCGCTCTTAGTCTACTATGAGAAATAATCCGGTCAGGTGCGCCTATCTGGTGGACCACACACGTTTGAAACTGACAATAACTTAAATAGGATCCCTTATCAAGTAATCATACGACTTGATGTAGCTGCAAAATCTAACCCAAACCCCTAATCTGAGCGCACGATTTCTCAAAGTGGACTCGGAGCGTGCTGCGCCCTAGCCGCTGGAGCTGGAAGCAGCGCTGCCACTCAGGCCTCATTGAAATAATTTAACTGCTCGTCAAGAAGGAAGTCTATGCACAAGAAGAACAAGGTATTAAAAACGATTAATCGAGCACAATTAAAAATTAACAATACTTCCAACGCAAAATATTTTAACACTTTCACATAATTTCTATAATTAAACAATGCAATTAGAAAATGGAGAAGTGTTCGCCATATGTTGGTTACTTAACGTAACAAAACACAGCTCGTCCTAACTCAATAATGCACGCCCGGCGCCGAGCCTCTAGAGAAATAATTTCGTGTAAATTTTGAAACCTTTGCCATCCGATAGAAAAAAAATTACTTTATTGAAATATATAGTTTCTAAAAATTCGTCAGAAATGCGTTGCGCAACGATACTTAGTTTCACGTGCGTCCCGCAAAGATTCTTGGTTTTTCTAGAGTCGCTGCGCCGTGCGTGCGTGCGTGCTTATTTGAGTTAGAGACGAGCGACAAGTCAAATTTAAAGTTGAAGTTATCGATTTTGAACTATGCCCACCAATAATCACACGTACTTCAGCAAAAACCTTGAAGAACTGTCACGAACCCCGTGTCAAAAGCGCCGGCAAGTAGGCAACCTCTTGAACGTATGGGTCTACCCTCCCACCTCCACCTTCTTTTCTATTGTTTCCTCGGCCAGAAACTATGGGTTCTCTACAATTAATTACGCAAATCACCCCGATACGTATATTTTCGATTGTAGGAAACACCTTGCCCGCTGCCGCCCCGCCGTCTACCGGGCCGCCCGCGTGCATCCTCCCTCGCTCACTCAGATACTTTGCTAGTCGCTGTACGGTAAATGTACTTCATTAAAGCTGTTAAAAAATATATTTTCTTAACTCAAAAAATGTGACGTAACGGTGTTTCAGCTCCCCCCCCCC